TACATGCTTCCCTTGTTTCTCAGAAAGCTAAGACCCCATACTTACAGAAACCAAAAGGTTGAAGAAACCACAAAGGGTTGAAGGTGCACCAAATCCTTGCCGGATGAAGTAAGAGGGTCCCTGTTCGGGTGCCACTTGTTGTAATGATGAGGCAGTCGAGTTGTTTGATCATGAACAACTGAATTATGATGATGATCTTTATTGGAGTATAGTCTTGCATTTATATACATTTTTAGTTATCCTCCATCACTGGTTAACTTTGGTTACTGCTTAACTTTCATTACTGTTTAGTACAGTAATCCATACAATTAATTATCTCTAGTTAAAGTCTAACATATGTCTACTTCCCCTCTCTAATCCTCCTTAATCCATAGATTAGTGACTTTGTTTGCCTGAGTTGTATTTGCTTGGAAACATTCTTTATCTGAGGTTTGCCATCCGAGATTGGAACATTCCTGCAATTACAACTCTACATAGAATTGCTGTGAGTTTAACTCTACCATTAAAAAGGTAAGACATTGCTGGGAAGAATATGGTGTGTGTTCTCTTCTATCTCCACCTTGCAATTTTCTTCTTGAATTTCTGAGTGCTTCAAAAGAGTAGGGCATCATTAAAAACTGGGATTCCTCAGTGGCTTGAAAAAATGCTATTGTGTGTGACAGCTTTCTTAAAAACAGTTGTACAGAATGCAGAATAAGTTCATGTCAGCACAGGTGAAAGAAGAAGCTAATTCTGAATCTGTAACACAGATACATAATATTTACACACATTGCCCAAAATTGTGTCTTTGGGAAATGGTAATGGATTTCTCTCCTCCTAAAATAGTCATTTAGGAGTCAGCGATGTATATGTGTGCAAAATGATAATGATCAGAATTTAGATGACATTTTCTGTTGAATCTTTAACATTCTAAGAGGAAACATGTCAAGCCACTCTTAAAATTCCCAGTTAATCCAGCATTTTCATGTAGTCCTATGCATGCTTTTCAAAAGAAATAAGTTATTTTGGGAGAGTAAGTGTATTAAGGACTGCAGTATATTATATCTTCATTTCTTTGGTTTTCTACAATGGAACATTTTCGGGCTACGCAAGCACATTGGCTTCAAAGACTGAAAAGTGCTTCAGGAATGTCTGCTATTTCTTAAAGGAGTTGTGTATTTTTGGGAAATGTGTACTTGTTCCTTATAGAAGCAGCAGCAACATAATCTCAGAATAGGATAGATTTTGTTGAAGTTATTGCAAACAAATGCCATTTTTTCTTTTTCTTTTGAATCTGAAGTGTGACATAGCCCTAGGACATTTTGTTCCTAGTAGATATTGAGTCTGCTTATCCAAAATTTGTGGCTGAGCTTTAGTGCTAGTCATTGTCAAAACTCACAAAGTCCCTGATGCCCATTCACTCTTTTATTTTTACAAATTACAAAAGTAAAAAATAGCAGTATATTTAAAAAACCTGTTTTGTTTATCCAAATGTAATTATTGTAATACTTAATTGAAAATATCACTTTTGTAAACATGATTTATAGTTCTCTGTTTTTCCTGCTTCTGCAATAAAAGCAATATAACCTGCTTTTTAATTTAACTAGTATTATACCAGTTTACTAGTTTTGATTCTGTCAAGCTTCAAATTTCCATTTCAGTTACTTGCACTTAATGGCAATTGTCATTAAAGCATCAATCCATTCCATACTTTTACTTTTAATGTTCCATTTTCAAAATGAATAAGTTAAGCCCACAACTTCAGCATGGTGCCTGGGAAGAGCAAAGTGCCTGCCTGCCAATTCATTTATTTGATTGCTGACAAAGTTCCTATTTGTAAAGATTGTATCTGGTGGGATTTAAAAAAAAAATCTGTCCACAATGATAAAATTTTACTTCTATAAGATATATTTTGAACCATGTATAAAATAAACACAAAATGTGTAACATCAGAATTCTGGCATTTTCATACTTTCTTCTGCCCTTTGCTAATGTTTATGTTATTTTAATTAAGGTTGAGGTCTTCCATTACCCATTATTGCTTTTTGTTATTTGGATATTGGTACTTTGGAATAAATCACATTATACAGAATCCAGTTGATATGATATGACTCAAATTGGTGTTGACAAAAATTCTGGGGTTTTGTATCAGAATTAGGAAAAGAAATAGGAGGTCATTTTTATGGATTTACATAGTGGGAAATTTTGGAAGGGCTATCGTGTTTTCTTAGAATGGCCTTTTGATTTGCAAGAAAGGAGATGATACCTCTTGGTTGATTAATAAACTTTGTGTAAATATCAGATTTTTGAAGGATTGAGAAATGGATTATTTAAAAAATGTTTCATCTTTTCCTATATGTTGTTACAATTTAAAAGTCTTCTAGAATATATGACAATGTATATTTTTATTCATCATTTTTATTCAACCTTGGAAAGGATGAAACAGTTGGGAATTATTTCCACTTATGAGTACTGTAATGTGTTTGTGTGTTGTAATGACGAGGCAGTCGAGTTGTTTGATCATGAACAACTGAATCATGATGATCTTTATTGGAGTCTAGTCTTGCATTTATACACATTTTTAGTTATCCTCCATCACTGGTTAACTTTGGTTACTGCTTAACTTTGGTTACTGTTTAGCACAGTAATCCATACAATTAATTATCTCTAGTTAAAGTCTAACGTATGTTTACTTCCTCTCTCTAATCCTCCTTTAGATTAGTGACTTTGTTTGCCTGAGTTGTATTTGCTTGGAAACATTCTTTATCTGAGGTTTGCCATCCGAGATTGGAACATTCCTGCAATTACAACTCTACATTTGTGAGGGAGTTGTGACACTGTAGTAGATTACTTGCCGTGTAGTCTTAGACCAGGGGTGGGCAACTATGCTTGCTCAGGAATTCTGGGAGTTGAAGTCCATAATTCATAAAAGGGCCATAGTTGCCCACCCCTGTCTTAGACTCAGCCTCAAAAGGAAGACTCCTTTTTAAGCTATACTGGCCATTAGTTATGTCCAGAAAAATGGTGTAAGATAACAATGATCTTTATATGAAATCAGCTGAGATGGTACTTTCCATCCTTGTTGTAATTCTTCAAATTCTTTTCTAAATACCAATTCAATTTTAGTTGATGACAGGACAAGATGACAAGATGAACAGACAAAACTTTCCACCTCAGACGATAAAAGTTTGCTACTGTTGTAGTCATTAGAATAGATATAGATTGGCCTTGTAGAACAGGGTTGTCAAACTCATGGCCCGCAGGCCAGATGCATGACATGCTGGCCTCCCCCCTGCCCAGTTTAGTGAAGGGGAAAAAAAGTCCTAATGTCATGTGACGACATCGTGAGTTTGACACCCCTGTTTTAGAACAACAGACATGTTTGGAATTTTGAGAACAGTTGAATGGCTGCCTAATTACCAAACACCCATTTACCAAAATTGTGAAGTCTTGATTCTTCCTCTTCCTCCTGTTGCTAATTCAGTGAAAATCTCTTTGCCACCCCAATTTTTACTTTTTTATCTGGATAGGAAAAACATACTATCTTCAGCAATATAAGGTTGTAATCCAGCGTTTTCATTTTTTTTAGGAATAACTAGGAGGGTTGGTAGGACCTAGAGAAATATTTTAAAATAAAAGAACAGCTTACTGTTTATTTTATATTGTATTTTTAAGTCAGGAGGAGCTGGAAGATACCAGCTGTCTATTTCTGCATTAAAAAGGCTTCTCCAATCTCTGCTTAGAATAAAATCACTTTCCAGCTATATCTGGAGATGGATGTAGAATTTCCAGAAACATTGAAGCCATGGGAATATTCACCCACCAACACTTTTTCCCCTTTGGTAGGGAAAATGAAATATGTGGAAAAATGAAATTGTATACAATAATTAATCTTGACTTATCTTAGAGATTTAGCTAATTTATAGATGTTTTATGTGTGATTTGATTGCCTTATGAAAGTATATTCAGCATATAACATTTTGTTATATACAAGAGGGGGGACAAGCAATATAATAATACACAAAAAAGGCCTTGAGATTTAAAAATAGGAAAACTGTTTTCTGGTGGTGATTTCTCCCCTGTTTTTTAGGGAAGGGAGTTAGAATTCTATGTCATAGCTTTTGCAAGATATGCTTCTTACAATTCTCTTTCTATTACTATCTCATCTTCTGTTCCATGTAATAAGTCAAAGTTTGGATGATTTTCCCCAGTATATTGTATTATTGCTTTACTTGTAATTTCATGATATTCTGCTGCTGCTGGGCACATTTCTTTCTCTTTAAAAATGTATATTTTATTGATTAATTCTAATATTTATTTCAAAGGCCTTTAGGTGGAAAATTGACTTAAAATGCTAATATAAATAAAACAACATTGCTTCTGAAATTGTGGGACATTGCAAAATCAGGTTACTGTATTGATGTGGGAACTTGCTTTCAAAAAAATGGGGGGGAGGGTTCAGACCTCTATTGATAATTATTGATTTCAAGAAGCTAAACTAAAATATAATATACAGTATGAAATATACAATTAACAATGACAAATGTCTGCCTGCAGGCTTATAATTCTAAATAAACGCACATGCAAAGAAAAAGAAGAATGGGAACAGGATAATACAGTCTGTCAGCAGCTCCCTAGGATTTCAGATGCAAGATTTTATGTATTTATTTTATTTATTTGTTCATTTTCTAGATTTCCTAAGCTTATGAGGGTGATTGAACAGATGAACATGATGCCTATATGCAAGAGAGTTCTACTACCATAGAGATATGGACTTTTTGGAGTGGGGAAAAATGGAATAGGAAAATATGATTGAAGAAGAGAAATGCTTACTTTTAAAACAATCAATTATTGAATAATAAATATGCCTGCCATGAGGCTCATTCTGAAGAGTGGGTAGAATATCTTTGTGCCTTATCAGAGTACAGTGGCTGATAGTATTATATGCTGAGGAGAGCAACTGCATCTACATTTAGTGGAACTGCTTAAATGAAATATGTTTTTCATCTTTTCTCCCGTAGTCTGCTGGAAACCATGTTTCACTACACTGATGAACCCAGATTCACCATAGAGCAAATAGATCTACTTCAACGCCTGCGGCGTACTGGTATGACAAGGCACGAAATCCTCCATGCTTTGGAAACCTTTGACCGTCTTGACCAGGAACACAGTGACAAGTTTGGGCGGCGGTCTGCCTATGGGAGTGGATCCTGTAGTAACAGCACCAACAATGTTCCAGCGTCTTCCTCTACAGCCACAGCTTCCACACAGACCCAGCACTCTGGGATGTCCCCATCTCCAAGCAACAGTTATGATACCTCCCCACAACCTTGCACTACCAATCAAAATGGGAGGGAGAGTAACGAGAGGTTGTCTGCCTTCAATGGGAAGATGTCACCTACACGTTACCCTCTGGCAAATAGCATGGCTCAGAGGTCATATAGCTTTGAAGCCTCTGAGGAGGACTTGGATGTAGATGATAAAGTAGAAGAACTGATGAGGTAGGCAAAGTTTTATATTATGGATCAAGAACTACCCATTCCCAGCTTCTTTCTCTTCCCATTCCCTGCAAAGATACCTCAGAGTGTTGGATAGTTCTGAATGCTTTGTTTATTTTCTTAGATCAAAGCTTAGTTGTCTTAGGCCAGTTAGATTGAAGGGACCTTAGATCTTTGTTCATCTGGTGCATTTTTCACAGCCTTAGTTTGGATATGGATGATTATCTAATGCAAAAACTGACATGATGAAACTACCAATGAGTGACACTTCTGACATGGCAACTGGTCGTTTGAACACTTGAATGCATTGCTTAGGTGCAAAAAAGTTCAAGCATAACAGTTTCCCCAACCTAGTGGCTTTCAATCATCCTCTATTACAGGGGTCTTCAAACTTGACAGCTTTGTGGACTTCAACTCCCAGAATTCCTCCTTCAGTCATGTTAGCTCAGGAATTCAGGGAGTTGAAGTCCACAAATCTTAAACTTGCAAAGTTTGAAGACCCTTGCTCTATTAGAATAGATCAAGAAAAGCTGTTTGTGGGGATCTTTTTTGGATTTAATGAAGAAAATTGATACTTGAAAATAAAATTCTGATTCCAAGCACTGGGCTTGGAAGACAGCCACTTAAGAATGGAAATTTAAAGAATTCTGATGTGCAGAGAGCTATGAATGTGACTTTTACTTTTTGGCCATGCAATATTGGAACAGCAGATTTATTATCTATTAGCTGCTTCACCATATCAGTTACTAAAATTGGGGTCTGTCATTTCTTCTGTTTATTACACAGCAAAGCATGTTTTCTACCCACTGTCCATTCTTACAAATCCATTCTAATTATTGTTTCATAGTGAATATTGCTTCTTTTCCTATCATTGAGAAAATGAAAAGTTACAGTGATAATTATGATAGATATAATAGTCTAATGCAGATAGATTTATGAGGGGTAATTATGAAATAGCCAATTCTGTCTTTCTGACCTGTTTGTGGAATTTCTTGCTCCATTTTGCTTCTCACTCCTACAGACACCCATTCATACAGATCAGCTTTATGTTCTGCTTTGTACTGATGTATGCAACGCATATTCTTAGTTCCCCTTAATGAATTTCAGAGTGACCGTTCACTGAGTGACCCATGTGTGTTGGTTGTAGGAAGATATTAATTGCAGTACCACAGATCTCCACATCAAAATAAAGCAGATGGGTAGAATCATTCTATATGTAATACCAGAAACATTCAAATTGCCCCTACTTCTAATAAATTTAATAAATAAATGAGCCATGGTGGCGCAGTGGTTAGAGTGCAGTATTTCAGGCTACTTCTGCTGACTGCCGTCTGACTGCAATTTGGCAATTCGAATCTCACCAGGCTCAAGGTTGACTCAGCTTTTCATCCTTCCGAGGTGCGTAAAATGAGGACCCAAATTTTTTGGGGCAATATGCTGACTGTAAACTGCTTAGAGAGGGGTATAAAGCACTGTAAAGCAGTATATAAGTCTCAGTGCCATTGCTATTGCTAAACAAAATAACCTCTGCTTTAATAATTGTGGCAATTTGCTGCAGGTACTCTAGTGCTTAAATCTAGGTGTCAATGTGGTTTGCTTTGATTTCTCTCCTTTTAGCAATATTTCCTTTGCAGGAGCCTCATTTAAGGATAGAAACTGTGACTGCTGCTGTTTCCCCTCTTCCCACCCCCAAGATGTTAGTTGCAAAGATTTATACATCCCCTGTAATGAAACTTTGTACATTCCATATGGCTTGCATGAATTTATACAGATCGTGAGTCATCCATTTTCCTTGTATGCTTTGATCCACCAATGACACTGATTAAAAGAAATGTCTGCTGGCAAGGGCAATATATCAACCCCCTCCCCACCATCCACCATAAATTGATCTTCAAATGCTACTTTGGTCCTCTCTCTTTTTATTTTTCTAACTCCACACATTTTGATAGGAGGGACAGCAGCGTGATAAAAGAGGAAATCAAAGCCTTCCTGGCCAACCGGAGGATTTCTCAAGCAGTTGTTGCACAGGTTACAGGTAAGAGCTTGAAAATGTCCCCTTTTCTATTCTGAAGTGTTGCTACATCATCTTGCTCATTTGCTGGCTAGTGCAGGTGTTGGCATATTGCGAGGCAGTCTGCATTCCAGTGCGTATCTGTCAGGGTAGTTATAATATATGCCTTTGATTTAATATCCATTGTCATACATGTCATGAAATTTCCTCAGTGAATCAGTGCTTTTATTCCCCTTCTCTAATCCTGCCTGATTTTTCCTCAGCCGCCCTCCATTCAATGGCTCACACTAGCAGGGTTTTCCCCCTATAATATTGTAATGAGTTATCAAGTGCTTTTGAAATGGCTTTTTAAAAAATTCTAAAAGTCACATGTGGTGATCTTGTTTCAATGCAGAAAAGTGCATCCTTTGGACTAGCTGATTTAAGGAAGACATTAGCTCAGTTCACAGGACATTTACCTGGAAAAGTTTTTAATTATACTTGGTATATTACATCCATAATTTGACCTTTCTACTTAAGCTATGTGGGTAATACTACTTGCACATACGCTTGGTTTCTCACTGCTTACCTTTTACAGATAGTCCCTGGTTAAAAATGAGTTCTTTTCCCAAGGTCTGTCCTTAAGTTGAATTTGTATTTCAGACGGAATAATATTATTGTATAATGTTGTGTAAGTGAATATTCTGTAATGAACTTGAACTATTGTATATTTAACTTGAATCATTGTCTGTTTAACTTACATTTTGCTACAATAGGTTGAGTCTTTAAACCAATGTGTTCTAACCCAATGACTTGCTTGATTTGTAATATTCATATATAATAAAGATGCTGTACAAAGTGCAGACATATGTAGCAACTTTATATTTATATTCCACCTTTTATTCTAGGATTTTAAGCTAGCATACACAGTTCTCTCTTACATTCCATTTCCCCCCATAATTCCTATCTAAAGTAGGCTGATGTAGTGACTATCCAAAACAAACTCCGTAAGCTTCCTGACTTTGGAGGAATTTGGATATTCGCAGTCTTAAATACAACATTTTAACTATGTGAAACTTGATCCTCCAAGTGGAGACCCTTTACTCTTTAAATAAACTAGTGGACATGTGATCAAAATTCATATGCTTGGCATCTGGTTCATACTGTGTCCCAAGGTCATGTGATCATTTTTTGCAACCTTCTGACAAGCAGAGTCAATGGGAAAGCTAGATTCATTTAATAACAGGGTGAATAACTTATCAACAGCAGAGATTCACTTAACAACTGTGTTAAGAAAGTCGTAAAATGGGCCAAAACTTACTTAACAAATGTCTCATTTAACAACAGAAATGTTGGCCTCAGTTGTAGTTGTAAGAGGACTACCTGTGCAGTATATACAGAGAGGATAGGGAATCTATAATCCACCAGACCTTAAGTCAATTGCCTCTCCCAGTATCTTTCATAATAATCCTTGCTGTAGCTGTTATTCTCTATCAAATGGACAAACATAGATCCCTCATCCCTGGCATGTAGGATTCAGCCTAAGATTCAGGAGAATGACCCATAATAGGCCTAATGGTATTTCTCTTCCTGGAAATAGATGTCAGCTAGCTGCAACTTATTTTCCTCACACAATGTAGCATTATATCTCCGGAGTTATTTCTGCAAAAAATGCAGAATACTCAGATGATCTTTGAAACTCTCACTTTGGAAGCCTTGCAGTTTATTTTGGTTATATGTTGCTCTTTGAATTTGTGATATAAATGTGTAAAATATTTTTAGCGTGTGTTCCTTGCCGTTCAGAAGAAGATAATGTTCAGTTAGGCCATAATTAGTGCCCTTGTTTCCTATGTGCCAATCATGTAAGTAAACAATAAGCAGACTGTTTTCAGAAATGAAGTTAATATTCAAATTATTAAACACTTGAAGGTAGACTTTTAGGCATTCCTGATCAAATTTAATATTTCAGTGAATACCCAAGTGAACAGAAGCTGACACATCCTGTACATGGGGCATAGTTAAACACAACATCTTTCTGCAGATTTAAATGCATATTTATTATTTATGTTCAGTTGCTGCAGATTCATAATAAGAAAGTTATGGGTATGGCTGTGCAGAAGCTTGGACATCCATTTAGTCAATGCTTTGTAATGCCTCTTTTGGCAAAACAAGTTTCCAAATACTGTTATTACCTTTGGTCATTAAGATCCTTTCTATTCTTGCTTTTGGAATTTTTGCCCCTCTTCCTTGGAGAAAACTCTTTTAACTCAGAAATATTCCTAAATCTTTCCCCTTTTTCAATAACAATCAACTGCGGGGGACTGCAAAGACCATTTCAAAACCCTTATCTTTCTTTCCTTTAAGTAGTTCGTGGAAGTAGTTCATGGTTGGTTTGGAGGCATGGGGTTTTTTTTGCCTTGGCAAAATAACCACCCTCTTTTTGTCTTCAGTTCTCTTCCCTGACCTAAATGCTTCACTTCTTTTTCTCCAAGTGTATCTTGTAAGGTTGTGGTTGAACAGTTCAGTCTTTATTTTTATCAGTCCAAAGCACTTTGTTCCGAAATGTTTCCAACTTATCAGAGTTTCCTTTTGCATATTTTAAAATATTTCTGTGATGAGGTCAGAGTAAAGGTTTCCTTCTGTCAACTCTCTGATACAAATCTTTGTTCTGTAAGCAACTGTATACTGTGGACAGATAAACTCTTCAGCAAACTGTGATTCCTGGGATCTCTTGCAAATCTGTCAGGTTCTGGGTAGCTCCCACAATTTTTCTTGATCTTCCAGTTTTCTGCCTTGACTTCAGCAATTCCATGGAACTTCCATTTCTTGCCTAGTGGCTTCTCTGCCATGCTTTCCCCTCCTTCCCTACGTTACCAACCAATGGTTCTCCTGAATGTGAAGGAGTGATTGCTATGAATCAGAGCTGATAATGACAGGTTCTGAAGAAGATGATAAGCTGGAACTTTTTTAAAGGAACATTCCACGATTTTAAGCCTTGTCATGCCAATCATCCAATATTTTCCATTCTACTTTTCTGTACTCTTTTACAAATTGCCAAAATATGCTTATTTTTAGTTACCTTGGAGAGGCTTTAGAAATCTCTTTCCTGTCCACTGTATTACCTTGCAGAAAGCCAGCAAGGGTGAAGCCTGGATTCTCTTATTTGCTCAGCATCCAATCCTCCACATCCAAACCTGATTGAGTCTGGTCAATTTCACTGTTCTCCCCTCACCCCTGAAGAGTGAGGAAGAGAGGGTGAAATTGACCACAAAACCTACAGCACGTTCTGTTATATAGAAGAAGTCTCAGAAAATAAAAAGTCTGCTTTAGCTTCAGATTTATGGAGGGCAGAAAAGGTTCATTTATCCAATAGCCCTGCATTAATATGATTACCAGCAAGATGTCCTCAGACACTGCTGAGGCCATCCTGTCACTGCTCATGAATACCATGATGGAGGATAGTTCTGTCTTCCAGCTGAGACATAATATTGAGAAGAAGGACTGCACTGGGCTATCTGAACTCTTTCAGTAGAGGAAGGGGAAAGAACTTAGTTGTCCTCCATTGTCTCTCCTTGACTACAATGGTTTAATGCTACATATTGTCACTGCCTGCTAGTCAAAAGAAGCATAGGTTATAGGGAAGCTGTTAAGAAAATTTTGCTGTAATTCTTATTTTCTCCTTTGCAATGGAAATAGCAACCTCCACAAGGTTACTCTTTCCCCTAACCAAAACTCCCAAAAAGAAGTGTCCGGTCTGTCTGGCAGCCAATATACAAATGGCCATGAAGGTGAGAAATTCAGCAACCACATCTAAGGAGTCAGTTCTGCAAAAGGCCATTTGGAGCTCAATATATTGCTGACCTACATATTATTGTTGGCACTGAAGCTCCTCTTCCATGGATCATGAATTGTCCAGAAGGAAGGACTGGAGCTAGCATAAAAGGGAAAGTACCTAAAACAGTCTTGGGCTGCTCTAACACCAGACTGATGACAATATGGAATTTCTGTGTGAGGACACATCCTCAGTAAATAGTCTCTGCTGACATCTTCATTCTCTGCTTTCTTTTTCTACGTCTCTTCTGCTCTTCTTTGTACTCTTTCAATCTCTCTCCTCTGCCAGAATCTTTTCCCATTATTTGCTTTTCAAATAGTTTCCCTATCTCCATCCTGACTTCTAGCACTGGATCCCATCTTCTTTCTCCCTATTCCTGATCCTACTATCCCCAAGTTCAGCAAAATATAAGAGAATGGTTTCAAAGGAAGTTTGAGGAGTAACATCTGTCTTGGGAGGAGGGAAGACACTGAGGGTTGGTAGCTATCTAAGGATGCCAACTTGGGTGCCAAGCATGTCAGCGAACTAAACCATTCTGGGTGAATTTTACCTACTTGTTTATTAGGACTTTCATTCAAAATGTAAAGAGACATTCCTTTTCTTATTGATGACTTTCTTGGAAGGATTAAAAGTAGGAGAGGGATAGAGAAAAAAGCCCCCAAAGCCATAAAATAAAAATATATCTAAAATAAAAAGGGACAAAGTTGGCATTGTTTGTCACATTAAAAACAATTGTATGATTACTGTCTAAAGGGGTCCTATGTAGAAGAAATCCCGCATAGAACTGCTAATGTGGAAGCTTTGTTGGCCTGTTTGTTTTTCTTTTTAGAAACTATATTTTTGGGGGTTTTGTAATGAGATAAACAAGACAATGGCAGCCTGGGCATGGTGTTATTAATATACAGATAAGGCAAATGACAATATGAACAGCTAAGAATAGCTTGCACAGAACACTCAGTCATGGTTCAGCTCTTTCTTTAGTGCTTGCTCCCTCTAAAGATCAGATTGGAGAATAACATATGTTGGGAGCAGAAAGTGGGAGATAGAATTAGAAGCTCCTTTACAGGAATCCAGTATAATCAGTGCCAAAAAGAATAATGTGCGAAAGGGATGTTTTAGAGAACTATTTTAAAATTGATAGGAAAGTAAAATTTAAAATGAACATTGAAATATGCTTAAAGGAAAGCGTCTCCTCAAATGTGAATTTTATAAAACATTTAACCCCATTCATTATCAAAAGTGCTCTCCCAGTTCAGACTCAAGATGGAAGGGGTTGAATGGCTAAAGGAACATCCCCTCCAGATGTATGGTCTATTTATTATGGATATTGTAGTCCTGAAAGATGGTACATTGTGGTAGAGTTCTTTTAAATTGACTATACTATCTCTATTTGAAAATATGCTGAGATGTATCCACATGTGCCAAACCCTTATGTGTTTCTCCCTCTTTTCACCACTGCAAAATGTATATTCGGCATCTAGGAAAATATCCCCACCTTCTTTGTGTGTGAGGGAACGGGGCTGTTTAGCTGTTTCTCTCGTTTTGGACCAAGCCAGCGCTAAATAATGGCTGACTGCCCTTCACTCTCTGGTGTTCCATGTGCCTGCTTTGCTCATTCTTACCAGTGCAAAATGAACAGCTGAGTGAGTCATTCCATTTCCTGGTGGACGTGTTCATAATGTCCTCTAAGCTGATATCTCCCTCTTCCTCCTCCTCTCACTCCACTGTTCCCTATCTTTGCAAGCAGTCGGAGCAATTAATCACAATAATGTCATTTGAAAATTAGGTCTCTTCAACTTCAGAGCTCAAAGCCTTTTATATTAAAAAAAAAAAAAAAGGCTGGCGTTTTTGTAATGTACAGTGTCTGTGTTCTTCCCCATAGACAACAAAACTGTGAGATTACTGATTGAAGGGGGAGAGTGCAATCTAACCGCCATAACTGAAAAATGTAATCATTTCTATCTGCAGTTTCAGGTTGCTCTTTAAAAGCCCATTATGCACTAGAATAGGTTGAGAGATGTGCATAAGCATATCCATAGACTTCAGCGTGGAAGTGTTATAACCACAGGGAGATATAAGAGTTGCCTTATTCCAGATCAAGCAAATTCAATCTAGAATAGAATAGAATAGAATAGAATAGAATAGAATAGAATAGAATAGAATAGAATAGAATAGAATAGAATAGAATACTTTATTGGCCAAGTGTGATTAGACACACAAGGAATTTGTCTTGATGTAAATACTTTCAGTATACATAAAAGAAAAGATACATTTGTTAAGAATCAAGAATCATAATGTACAACACTTAATGATAGTCATAGGGTACAATAAGCAATCAGATCATACTAGGAAACAGTCAATATAAATTGTAAGGATACAAGCGACAAAGTTACAGTCCTACAATCACAAGTGGGAGGGGATTGGTGATAAGGAGTGATGAAAAGATTAACAGTAATAGTAGTGCAGACTTTGTAATAGTTGAACAGTGTTGAGGGAATTATTTGTTTAGCAGAATGATGGCGTTCGGGGAAAAACTATCCTTGTGTCTAGTTGTTCTGGTGTGCAGTGCTCTATAGCGTCGTTTTGAGGGAAGGAGTTGAAACTTTTATTTACATTCCTTTAAACATTTTAATCCTGCTTTTCTAGTTAGAATTTTCTCAGCATTTTTTTAAAGTCAGGTAATGATAACAGGTAACAGTAAGCAGGACCTCTGACAAAGGTAGAGGCCATTTTTTGCTATATGAACTAGAGAATCAAAGGGATGCTCCTTTGCAAAGCTTAAATCTTTCTCTGCATTAAAGATTCTAAAGTACAGGAATTCCCGAGCTTAAGATGTATGGTCTCTGCAACATTAATAACACTAAACCAAGGACAGACAAGCTGGTTGTGATGTCCAAAATTTCTGTGACATCAGAGTGATCAGCTGGTGGCATTAAGAAAAAGAGGCAAAGGAAAATTTGAAACCATATGGAGACAGATTTGATAGCATTCTTTTGAGCAGTTCTTTCACAAGTATGGCAATAAAAAAGATTTAAGCTGCACTTTTAAATACGCTTTGCCAGGAATGCGTCTTGCTAAACTTAGTGGTAAAGTTGTGAGTAAGGCTATATAGAATTGGAATGCATGTTTCTAGTCTGTTGTGTTGCAACAAATGTATCTTCCATAAAAATTTGAGAAGATATATTGGACAAAAATTATAGCCATGCCCACTTGAAACCACCCTGTACAGGAAATGCTTTAAATAACTTATAAGAAATGCACAAGTGTGTGTTTTAACAAGCCCTTGAGAGAAGGGCTTCAAAGATGTGGCAACAGCTTCAGAAAATAAGGCCTTATTCCATTATTGTTTTTAACTCATGCTAGATAATGTTTTGTCAGCAAATCTTAAAAAGGACAATTGATACAAAAGAGTTGAGCTTTCAAGCAGAAGAATTTTAGGGAGATGGGATTGAAAAACATTAACATGAAAGATAAAGAAGTTCAATTGGTGGCATACTGCTGGTGACCTTCTACCACTGCACCATAGAGAGTATCTTAACTTACTGCACCTGTGTATGGTTTGCACAGTGGGACAGCACTACAGAGGGTTAACATCATTGCCCAGAAGATCATCGGTTGCCCTCTCCCCTCTTTGGAAGAGCTTTATAGCTCCCGCTGCCTTAAAAAAGTTCAAAACATTCTCAAAGATCCATCTCATCCTGGGAACCCTTTTTTTGAACTATTACCATCTGGCAGACGGTACAGAATAATAAAAACAAGGACAAATAGGCTGAAAAACAGCTTCTATCCCAGGGCAGTAACTCTACTGAATTCTACTGTATGGTGCAATATTAATGCAATATCACAGGTTTTCAATTCAATGAAGAATGTGAAGGATGTGTGTTTGTGTTTATTTTCATCGTCATAATGTATACTGAAGATGGTATTTAATTTTGCTGTATGAGGTGCAATGATAATAAAGTAAACTAAACCAAATTAAACTAAAACATATTATGATAAAGAACTTGTTTACCTTATTCTGTAAATTCCTAATGGATGGAGGGACAACTCTACTTTCTCAGTGGGGGCTAGCTGCTCTGAAGCCATATTTCTTGACCACTGTCCCTTCTACAGCATTCAAAGTTGTTCTCTATTTTCTGAGGCATCTTTTAGACTTTACTTTCTTCCCTTTTTATTTTGGAAACTTGAGGTTTTCTTTCATCAAATCAAGCAGGTATTTTCAGAAATTCATATGACAGTTAGATTCACTGAGTCTTGTTCAGATTCTTTGCAAGCAGCTTAAAGCCTCTGCATAGGTAGTGCTTTGCTGTTTAAAGAACAAAATTGGCTGTGGAGTGGAGGAGATATCTGATGGTTGTTTCTCCTGTGTTTCTCTTTGTCTCCCATGCAGGCATCAGTCAGAGTCGGATCTCCCACTGGCTGTTGCAACAGGGATCAGACCTGAGTGAACAAAAGAAAAGGGCCTTTTACCGATGGTACCAGCTTGAGAAATCAAATCCAGGTAAACAAAATCAAGTTAAGATACTCTGGCTGCTTCTTCTAAACCAAGGGTGTCAAACTCAAGGCCCGCAGGCCAGATCTGGTCTGTGGGGCCACCCTGGAAACAGTGAAGGACTGGCCCACGGTGCCTTTGCCAGTGAAAATGGGCTGCCAATCTCCATTTTCAGCTGGGACCCTCTCCAGCGAAAATGGAGCTCTGGAGCTCTGTTTTCACTGGCAGAGAGTTGCAGGAGGCCGTCCCAGCCAAAAATGGAGATTGGCAGCCTGTTTTCACTGGCAGAGCACTCAGGCCACCACAGGCACCCCTGACATGAGTGATGTCAAGCTGGCCATGACCCCCTGGCCACGCCCCCCCATCCCCCCCAAGGTCAAACACAACCCTGAGGCGGCCCTCAATGAAATCGAGTTTGACACACCTGTTCTAAACTATGCCTTTTGTCCC